TTTTGCACATGGACAAATGAGCCCTGAAAGCTACTTACCCTGTATTACTCTACACATGTTGCATTTCCAGGGGGCATTTTCCCCTTGTTGCTCTTTTCCCTCATCTTGAGTGAGTTGCTGAACAATCTGAGAAAAAGATAGATGTTTTCAAAGAGAATACACCAAATAATGGTTTATTCTAAAAACAACATAATAATACAGAAGAACAATCAATGTGTGAGAGTGTGATTCTTACCTTTGAACATGGATGGTTTTAAAGTTTATAAGAAAAAGTAAGAAATTGAATAGAGTTGCAAGCGCTAGCTAGCTTGCTACCAGCAGATGAATGGATATTTAATATTTGCAGCTAACAATAACAAAAAATAACAACTGTAGTGGCTCATTTAAACAGCCACAGTGAGAAGAAGTGAAAGTCTCTGACATTGAAGATTTAATGGGAAGACATTAAATCCATTTATTAAACAAAGCAATACATGAACATTAAACTCTCTGTCTGCAGCAGGTAACATCTGTGTGCTCCTATGGTCCCACATGGTCCCACATGGTCCCACACCTGAACTCAACTCCAACTGATGACATCACAGGTGTCTAAATGATGGGAGTGTCCCAAATATTAAAGCTGATCTCCCTGTTTTTAAACTTAGTTTACTAAGTACTGTTGTCTTTTTGCAGTTTATAAACCATTGTGAAATATACAGTAACTTTACATTTTGGAATTGAATTATTATTTTAAAACTCAAGAATCTTAACCTTTTTTAACACATAGTTTGTTGGACAGTCTAACCTAAGAATTCTAATGTGTTAAAAATAGTTTGAAATATGAAAAACAATATCATATTTTAAACTTTAACTTAACTCACTGACTGCCAGGCATTTTCAGATTTGAGAAGTGCGTTCTGCCAGCAATTTCAGGTGATTTGACCCAACTTTGAAGTGCCACAGAATATTCATTTTTTAGACGATGTAAACACCAAGGGCACCAAATTAAAGATTAACCTCTCTGCTTTACTCTGAAAAAAAACAGTTTGCTTCTACCTCTTACCGTTCTTGAGCTATTTGCCATAGAACAAAGCATACTTTCACCCACAACACCTGGACTGAGCAAGAAAACAGAGAAAACAAGCTGTATGTAAACAGGAACATATCAAGCAGAAAAGAGACTTTAGATGCATTTTTGCTGCTTTAGTGACAACTCAAAACATCTTCACACTTGTTCCATTACAAAAATTATAAAAACATGACTCTGACACTCGAGTGAGTGTCTGTGTGCGTGAGTGAGTGCGTGTGCGTGAGTGTCTGTGTGTGTGTCTGTGTGCGTGTGAGTGTTCGTGAGTGTGTGTATGAGTGAGTTTATCTGCTTTTTCAGTCCTCCCAGTAGTTCAGCTTTGAGTTGTAGAGGTTGAAACACTGTGTGCAACGGAACACAACACGCTGTGTACCATTTGTAGTTCTCCCTCCGTGAAGAAGAGCTCCAGAAAGTCTGGATCAGATGAATCCAGCTCCAGAAAGTCTGGATCAGATGAATCCAGCTCCAGAAAGTCAGCTGGATCAGATGAATCCAGCTCCAGAAAGTCAGCTGGATCAGATGAATCCAGCTCCAGAAAGTCTGGATCAGATGAATCCAGCTTCGCAGCCTCTGTCCGCAGCCTCTGTGGTCCAGGAGCTCCTGTGAAGGGCAACTGACTCGGCTCCCACTGATCCTCCTGTCAGCCATCTTCCCCAGAGCTTCTGGGTGACGAACGTGCTGGAAATTTGATACACACAATAACTATATTATACAGTGAATTTGTTACAATAAATCAATACATAAAATACAATGAAGGCCATCCTCCCACATTATTGACTGACTACTTTTGGACGAAACACAGTATACTATATTATTATTATTATATTATATTGCCATGGGATGTACAAGAATAGAAATAGTAGTCCTTTTACCTTTTTTGTGCACAGCAACTGCCTCTCGATGCACCACCTGTAAATAATATAAATTTGTAAATCACTATACCAGGAGAATATATACAAAAATATGTACAATGGTATGAGGAGGCATCATCTTTACCTCTGCTCCATGCCCTGTCAACCCCAATGGGGGAGGGCTCTTTTATCAGAATCTGTGAATGAACACATTTCATTTAGTCAGAGCTATGTCACTGCAACAAGATGTTCAAGTATGAAATAACTAAACATAAAAATAATAAATACAACAATGATAAAACACATAACTGGCATTTACTAAAGAAACAGTAGGATTTGAGCGCTGTGTTACTTTGCAGATCAGAGCAAGTTTCTGCGCCTTTCCCTCCTCTCAAGTTAGCATATTCTAGGCAATTTAGCAAGTTCTTACCTTCGACTCTTTGTGGAGCTTCTGGAGAGGATGCTCTGCTGGATTGAGACTGCAACCACTCATCCGATAAATCATGATCAGGTTTGCTGAACGAATCCGAGGCATCAGTAACAACAGCAGCTGATACGCTGCGAGAGGCGGAAGGTGTGTCCTTGCTCCGGGCTCTGGGCTGCAGAGACGGACCTCCACCGGGGTCTCCACTCTGTCCCCTCTCGACCTCACTCACTGATCCGCGAGTCAATCTCTGAAGCAGTGTACACTGCTTATAACTATTCTTTTTCGCCATCACTCTTGCTATACTATCGCTAAACTAGATCGCTGATCCGTCTCAATGCTACGCTATCATCGCTCTGCTACAGCAGCACGCTCTCCAAACACTCCCACACTCCTCCTCCTTCTCTCCACTGACTTATGACCTCTCCTGTGGCGCAATACTGCATCCTACTGGTGTTGATTTATCATTACAGGTACATTTGCACTATATATCAGTATTGTGGGTCATTCACAAGGTGCGCCAGACATTACTGTAGCCTCCCGTGTAATAACATGAAAAACTCATGGGCAGTGAGCGTTACTATTCAACATGACGAGTTTTGTCGTCATGGGCAGTGAATGAGTTAAAAACTAAAAAAAGGTGTCTCCCTTTCAGCTGAGCAGTGCCAGCCGTTATTATTATAGATTCATGCACTGGCAATTCAAAATACAGATAATATACAAAATATACTTAACAAAATCCACGTATACGTGAGAAAACAACTTACTTTCTGTCTCCAACTCTTTTCAATGTGGAAATGATACATGTACTTACTAGAGAGGGTGATTCCAAGTAAATAAAGCAGGGCAGCGACAGAGACAGATTCAACGTCATATCAACGTCTGGGAAGACATTTGTGGTAAACAGTGACCTATGTACTGCACAGGTGGACAAATGCAAGACAAAATAGTATTAATAACCTGGCCTTGTGGAGGTCTCAAGGACCACAGAGACTTTCGTTGTTTAGGCTATTTGGTGCCGAAGGTTTGGCCTTTTCTATGATGACGTAGATTTGCATATATAATGTATCTGTGTCTTTTGTTCTGCCTGAAATTAACGACCATTTTGTGAATAAACCAGCCAGGAGGCTTTGTCGTACAAAGATCCCGTTTTGCCTGAGTCTGATTCCTATCAGGTGGTGGAGGAATGCGGTGCTGAATGCGACTCTGCCCCGGCTGTTGTGAGAAAGTTTTTTTCAGCGTGAGAGAGCTGAGAGCATCTGGAGTTGGGTGCTATCCAGCAAGCTGGAGAGGTGACGATTCCGGGGCTTTTTTGCTCTCTCACTATATTTTTTTGTGTCCTCTTTTTTGGACTGACAAAGCGTTTAAATTTGTTTTTCCATGTCCATATTCCAGGGATTTCTGACGGGTGATTGGTCTCTGCCGATGGAAGCTAGTTCCCGGTACTAGTGAGCGCTGGTTCAGGATCTGGAGACCCCGGTTGGACGTGGAAAAGCTGATATTTGGTGGACTTTTGACGGTACCTGGGCCCTGTTCGACAAAAGGTAAGAGCGGACACCTGTTTATTCAAAGTCTGCTAATTGAGTGAACTAAATTATGGTCTGTTTTGAGGTCTGCCAAATGTCTAATATCTATAGATAGGATTAAAAACAGGTTCGCTACCTGATAAGTGTTGGCCATAAAGTGAGTGAAGGATCCATAAAGTGGTGGCCATAAAAGTGTAGGATCCAAAAAGTGTTGGCCATAAAGTGTATAGGATCCATAAAGTGTTGGCCATAAAAGTGTAGGATCCAAAAAGTGTTGGCCATAAACCCTCTCTATGGTTCCATCCAGAGGCGATCGTGAAGATGTGCAAGAACTAGCGAAACAAGTCAAGACACTGACAGCACTGGTCAGTCATCAAGCACAAAGTGTTCACAACCAAACCTCTGAAGAAGATGAACATGAAGAAGTGGGGATTCCTCAACTGCGGAAAAAAGAAGAAGAAATATGGAGGAAGTCAAAGACCAAGACAATGCAAAACATGAACAAAGAAAAAGAAGAACTCATTTGTTTAATGGACAAAGAACCAAAGCACACCCAAACCAGTCGTGAAATGCATATAAGAAGAGGCATAGAGAACCGACTGAGGACAGGCCACAATCCCTTCCGTCCAGAGACAAGAGACCACTATGTTGCAGGGGAGTTTACCGGCCTGGTCGAAGACCAACAGCATGAGGGAGCCTTCGTGAGTGGGCATGTCAACCCATTTTTTGACCCAAATCACTCACTGCTAGAAGAAGATGAAGCGGGAAGAGCAACAACCTCTCTCTTTCCACTAAGAGAGGCTGCGGGTCGCCAGCAAGTGTATCAGCCATTTGCATTGAAAGACATTGAAGGACTAATGCTGAAATTGCCAAAGCTGACAAAAGGAGCACCTGCATTTATGAGGGCACTGACGACGCACACAGCTGGTGAAATATTGTGCTGGGGAGACGTCTCTTCTATAATCACCAGAAATACTGATGAAGCCACTACCAAGAAAGTACGGGCGGAGCTAACAAAACGCATTGGACCATTCAACCATACCCTGTCCTTTACCACCATGAAAGGACCACTGCTGTCAATTCTGAGAGAAATGTTTCAAACATGCGTTCCAGAAGAATTACTTTCGCTAAAGATGAAAGAAGATGAAGAGTACTTTGAGTACAAGCGCAGAGCCAAGGCCTTATTCTATGATGCAACTGGGGAAGCAGTGCAACCAGGAACAACAAGTACATTCATCCTGTCCAACACAATGGTCAAAGGAATGCCAAAATCAGTACAACAAAGTCTTTCTCATGTTGTTGGACTGTACACACTGACCGAAGAAGACTTTGATAAAAACTGCAACCACTATGTGACCCTCTATCGAAATGAAAGAGAGAATAATAAAGAAGAAACACAAAAAGTGGAGGTGTCTAACATCAAGCTACAAAACAAGAAACTTAAAGAAGAGGTGGAAGCACAAAAGAGTAAAAACAAGGCCGCAAATGTGATGAAAGTTGGAGTGGACGGATCACAGGTCAATGTTGAGGACAATGACCAGAATCAAAAAGGAAAAGAGCAAGCTGAACAGATGGTGGACGTTGTAAAGCTCCTTTTGACACAGAGACCGGCTCAGAGAGGATACAGGGGGAACTCCAGAGGAAGGAGTAGAGGGAGAGGATTTCAAGGACAAAGAGGCAATCGTCAAATATCTGGAGATCAATGCTTGATATGCCACCAATATGGACACTGGGCAAACACATGCCCTAACAAGTGGTACGAGAACCCACCCCGGAACCAATTTAATGGCCGGCGACGAAACCAACCGCAATTCTCGGGACCCTACAACGGACAGCAGCAGATGTGGACGCCCAATGACATGCCACAGCCCCCACCCCCGCCTGAACAAAACATGAGTATGCGTGGAAACTCGTACACACAGTACCAGGATGGGCCTGGAGGGGCCAACAGCAAGAGAGCCACTCACTCCACAACTGGCGGAGTGAGCCAATGGTGGTCCTCGAGATGTCGCAGAAGATCTGAAGACACCTATCGATATCTACTGGCTTCAAGTACTGACGGATCCAGAGCATGGTAATACAGCCTCAACACTCTGGCAACGATACAAGCTATGGGCAAAATCCAATTTCCCCTTGAGAGAACCGTTTGACCCACTGCATGCCATGCTGTACTGTACCACTCAAGAAGATGAGAGTTATGAAGAATTGTGGGACAATGTGCAAGGGCAAACATTCCATGTAACATACCCATACATCTACTGTGGTCCCAAAGGCATGGCCCTGTCTGTGACTCTTCCAGATGAAGTGAAGCCCTATTATGTCGAAACAACCGACATGGACCCACATGTGACGTTGGCCGTTTCTAAGTACCATACTGCAAAGTCCCTTGGATCAATGGTGAAGTTGGCAAACACGTTGATGTATGCACCAACCGACAACCCTGGAGTGTCCTACAATGGACAACATGGCATTTTCAGGATCACACTGCCAGACGGGTCAACGGACATAACCAGAGCTTTGAAGGAATCGCGTCACAGAACTTTTGAAAATCACCCAGATGCTCAACGATACTTGGATGCAGTCCCAGCTAACATATGGATGACACATGCCAATGATGTGGGATGCACATCGCATGTTGCTAAAGTCAAACTGACAACTGACACTCCAGTATACAGAGCACAATACCCCTTGAAACAAGAACAAGTGCAAGGGATCGCACAAACCATTGAAGGACTGTTGAAAGCAGGTGTTATAAGAGGAACTACATCAGAGTATAACACCCCACTATTTCCAGTGAAGAAGTCAGATTTGAAGAACTGGCGCATGGTTCAAGACTTCAGATCCCTAAATGAAGTAACAGCTGATGAATCGTACCCTGTTCCAGACCCATACATCGCACTGAACAACCTTTCTCCGAACGACAAGTACTTCACAGTAATTGATCTGGCCAACGCCTTCTTCACAATCAAACTGCATCCAGAATCTCAGAAGTACTTTGCCTTCACCGTGAAGGGGAGACAATACACTTACTGTCGGATGCCCCAAGGATGGAAACTGTCCCCCGGGTACTTCAACCATTTCCTACGTCTGGATCTGGCTGAGTTTAACCTTCCTGAGAAGTGCACTCTCATACAATATGTGGATGATCTGGCTATTTCAGGACCAGATGCAAGGTCCGTTTTACAAGCATCCACTGATCTGCTCACACACCTGGCAAGAAAAGGCTATAAAGTGAAGCGGGAGAAAATCCAAATGTGCCGAAGATCTGTGTACTTCTTGGGAAGAGAGGTTTCTGCAGTTGGACAGGGAGTCTCAGACTCCAACAAAGATGCAATTCTGAAGACACCAAAACCACAAACGGTGCGACAAATGCTGAGTTTTCTCGGACTTTGCAACTACAGTCGAGAATATGTACCCAACTATACCGCAATGACTGCACCTCTAAGAGAACTGATCAAACCCCATGGCATGAACCAACCAACTGCAAGTTTATCTTGGACCACGGAAGCAGAAAACTCCTTTACAAGAACAAAGCAAGCCGTCTGTAACGCCTGTGCACTGTATGTGCCAGACTACACACTGCCGTTTCATCTTGATGTGGCTGAATCACAATTCTATGTCTATGGAATATTGTATCAGAAGAAAAAAGGAGAAAGAAGAGTTCTGAAACACTACTCTTGCAAACTTGATCCACACGACCAAGCCCAACCTGGATGTGCAAGATATCTGGCAGCATTGACCAAAACAATCATGAAGACAGCACATCTGGTCCAAAACCACCCTCTTGTGGTACACACAAACCATGGGATCCAAGCATACTTGAACTCAAAACTGTTCATCACCACAGCCCAAAGAACTGCCAACATCACTCAGACGCTTTGTCAACCTCACATCACCTATGCCAGCGGAAACATCAACATGGCCATGCATATGATCAATGACTCTGAAAGCAACAGCACGGACCATATCTGTGAAGAACTGGCGAAGACTGAACTATATGTAAGAGCTGATCTTCAATTTGAGCCAATTCCAAATGCTGAAATTACACTCTTCTGCGATGGCTGCTCATACAGAGCGCAAACTGGAGAAACCATCTCATCATACGCTGTCGTCTCACAAAAGGAAAATGGAGAGCACAGAGTATTGGAAGCAAGACAAGTGGAGCAAGGATCTGCTCAAGTGGCTGAACTTACAGGTCTGCTGCGAGCACTACAACTCGCCAGTGGACGGACTGCGAACATCTATACCGACTCGGCATATGCTTACAGGACATTGACAATCTCAATTCCTGGATGGATAAGAAATGGCTTCAAACTGATAAATGGACTGCCGGTAAAACATGAAGTTCTTGTGAGACATCTGATTGATGCAGTGAACCTACCAAGCAAACTGGCCATCATGAAATGCAGAGCACATACACAAGGAGAGGACATGATCTCCAAAGGAAACCAAGCTGCAGACCAAGCTGCAAAAAAGGCTGCCAACTACATGAAAAGAACAATGATCGTACAACAGAAACCAGAAAAACCCAAAGAAATTCAAGAAGAAGAGGAAACGCAAAAAGCTCAAGACAAAGAAAAACCCAAAAAAGTTCAAGAAGAAGAGGAAACGCAAAACGCTCAAGAAGACAAAGAACAGACCAAAGAATCAAAGAAGAAGAAGAAGAAGACAAAAAATCAAGAGTTGAACACACAATCACATTTAATCGATCCCCAATATGTGAAAGAACTTCAAAACGCAGCTGGGGCATATGAACAACATCAATGGAAACTAAAAGGAGCAACAAAAGGAGAAGAAGGCCTCTGGAGAAACCACGATGGTCGTATTGCGGCACCCGCCGCACTTATACAAATGTTGTTTGAAGAATACCACAGCCCGCTGCACAGAAGCGTCAACTCTATGATTCGTCTCATGGAACCATGGTGGCATCCAAATATGAAAGAAATGCTTCAATATCGAATCAACAATTGCCACACTTGCCAAACCATGAATCCCAAGAAGACTTGCAAACCCCCACCTGGCACTTTCATCATGCCCAATTCGCCCTTTGAAAAAATTGTCATGGACTTTACAGACATGGGTCCTGACAGGCGTGTTAGAGGTTTTCGATATCTTTTAGTTATCGTTTGCGAATATACTAAGTGGGTAGAAGCCTTTCCGTGATGAACCGAAACCGCGGCAGAAGTTGTAAAACATCTAATGCGTGATGTAATCTGTAGATTCGGCTGCCCTTATCAGATCAGATCTGATAATGGCAGACATTTTACAGCTAAGATTGTGCGTGACGTGTTGAAAACTCTCGGGATTTCACAAAAATTTGGTTGTGTTTACCATCCAAAATCTCAGAGTCAAGTTGAACGCATGAATGCAACCATCAAACGTAAGCTAGCTAAGGTTTGGCAGACTTCAAAACATGACTGGGTCACTGCTCTTCCTCTTGTGCTGATGGACATCAGGAATAGCGTGAACAAGTCAACAAGTTACTCTCCACACATGTTATTGACTGGGAGAGAAATGCACAGGCCGATTGGTCCACTCAATGCTGAAGCCCCCTTTGTCGAATGGGACTGGATCCACCAGCAATATTTGTCTGAGCTCAGGACAATTGTTTCTCAGTTGTCCGAGTGCAGACGACAAACTAACCAATTGAGACAAACAGATGAGCTTGACTTCGTGTGGACAGGGCCTAAAAGTTATAGCTTGTGAATTTTTAGATTCTCTCTCATTAAGCAATAGAAGAGATGTTGATTTATTAATTGTATAACCCTATGTTTTACTAAAAGCACATAATCAAATCTATAATAATTGGCACCTTACTTCCTTACAGGCCATTAGAGTATCTAGGTTTTGGTTTATAAAGGTGTATCTTTTTTAATCCTTTTAAGTCCGCTGCTGAAAGACAGCTTCTGTCCTCCCTGGAACAAAACATTGATTTGCCCAAATCGAAGTATATAGAGACAGGTTACAACGCTCTTTTACATGTTTGTGTACTTTAAAAACAGATTTTAATCATGTTCTTAATGATTGGGTTGTTACTTTTTTAGCAGATTAGAAACTTTGAGTATAAAAATGTGGTAATGGTAGATTCAAACCTTCAGACTCCATTTCTCTCCAGTGTGGAGCATTATTGTTTTCAAAATAAAATTTAATTAACCTTAAATGAGTGGTCAATAATACCACACTATAGGGGGAATTTTAGTCTTCCCTTTCTATATGGTATCAAACAAAAAATATTCCCTGTATTACGGTGTTTTCTCTTATGGGTTATTGCATCCTCTCATTATCGTGATTGGTTGGGAGATATTTTTGTTTGTTTTTTCTTTTGCTTTAGAGTTTAGATAAAGCAACCTAGTCCATTTAAAAATTGTTCCTATATCCAAATCTTTCCAGTACATTAAAAAAAGTGTTTTAAGAAGCATGCCAACCTGGTAGCAAATAACATTACTGTCAAAGCCTGGAAAGCTAAATAATTGCTGTGGAAATATGAGACCATTAAGCCTGTTAAATGTAGATCTAAAAATTCTTTGAGACTCTTTAGCGAGTCGACTTCAAGAAACATTACCATACGTAATACATAGGGATCAAAACGGATTCATACTCAGGCGACAGGGTTTCATAACGTTATGTGTATATAAATTCAATATATTTTTCAAAATGTGCCATTACCACCAACAATTGATTTTTTTTGCCCCGGGTAAGAAGCTATTTATTGGGTTCATCAGGAAAATTCCAAAGCTCGAATAAGAGTGTCTTTATTAGATACCAAATAGAAAGGGAAGACTAAAATTCCCCCTATAGTGTGGTATTATTGACCACTCATTTAAGGTTAATTAAATTTTATTTTGAAAACAATAATGCTCCACACTGGAGAGAAATGGAGTCTGAAGGTTTGAATCTACCATTACCACATTTTTATACTCAAAGTTTCTAATCTGCTAAAAAAGTAACAACCCAATCATTAAGAACATGATTAAAATCTGTTTTTAAAGTACACAAACATGTAAAAGAGCGTTGTAACCTGTCTCTATATACTTCGATTTGGGCAAATCAATGTTTTGTTCCAGGGAGGACAGAAGCT